ATGCTGGCTGGGGAATTCTGGGAGTCGAAGTCCACACCCCTTCAGGTTGTGGAGGTGGAGAAACTCTGAGCTACGGGACAGCCAGAATGTCCTCCTAGATCAAGCTTAGGCTGAGAAGGAGTTTCCATCAGTGCCGGGGAGGCCCTAGGTGGGCCTCCTCTTCCAGATAAAGGCTCTCCCTGCTTGTCCGCCCCCCCGCCCCCAATAGGCCCGCCGACACAGAAGGCGATCTTTCCCCAGCTCCGTCCCCAGTACCAACTTGTAGAAGGGGGCAGCCACACTCTGTTCGCAGAAGTAGTCGTTGATGTACGTGGTCAGGAGGCGCCGGTCCCAGTCGTCCGTCACGTGGCCTCCGTAGTTGACCCCAGCGATCAGGTACTTGAGGGCGTCCCAGGGGGTGTCCTCGTACTCATCCAGGTAGAGGCTAAGGAGATTCTCCGACACCTGGAGGAGAGGAGGGGGCTGAGCAATGAGGGTGGAGCCAGAGGTGGAGGCTCTGGGCCAGAGGTGTCAAACTCTGGGCTCCTCCTCTTCCACATGCAGCTTACAGGCTATGCCAAGATGGCTCCTGAGCTGAGCAACCAGAATCCATCTCTCTGCCACCAGCCCCATATCTCCATCTCACGGCAGATGCAAAGATGGCCCAGCAGGAGTGTGCAACAGCTCCCGGAGCCCCCGGGCCCCCAAGCCCAAGGAGGGAGGGCACCGAGACCTCTCTCCCAGCTTTCGGCGGCCATCCTGCCCCGCCTGCCGCCGCTGCCTCCCTCCCGGGGTCTCCACCTCAAAATCCGAGTCGTTGAAGCCATAGATGATGTTCCAGCCCAGCTGCAGAAACTTCTTGCGCTCCAGCAGGATGCTGTGGAAGAAGCAGAGGGCAAAGAGCAGCTTCTTGTACTTGCTCGGCTTTGTGCAGCGGTTGAACTGGGGGTCCGTGATGAGGTGGTACAAGCGCTTCATGTTGGCCTTCAAGCCCTGTGGGAGACAAACCCTGCTGGAGATCCAAGGCCCGACTTTTTAGGCCAGTGTTTCTCAACCTTGACTGCTTTAAGACGTGTGGACTTCAACTCCCAGAATTCCCCAG